TACCTGTCTTCCCATAGGAAACTAATAGTCAATATAGTTTATCTCTTGTACCTGTCTTCCCATAGGAAACTAATAGTCAATATAGTTTATCTCTTGTACCTGTCTTCCCATAGGAAACTAATAGTCAAAGTAGTTTATGTCTTGTACCTGTTTTCCCATAGGAAACTAATTGACAAAGTAGTTTATCTCTTGTACCTGTCTTCCCATAGGAAACTAATAGTCAATGTAGTTTATCTCTTGTACCTGTCTTCTCATAGGAAACTAATAGTCAAAGTAGTTTATCTCTTGTACCTGTCTTCCCATAGGAAACTAATTGACAAAGTAGTTTATCTCTTGTACCTGTCTTCCCATAGGAAGCTAATAGTCAAAGTAGTTTATCTCTTGTACCTGTCTTCCCATAGGAAACTAATAGTCAACATAGGTTAGCTTTTGTAATTTTTTCCACTGACTATTTTTAATTCATTTTCCGTTTTCAACACAAACAGAGGTTTTCGTATTAATACGGAGGCAACCTCGAGTTATCACAAAATCTGAAAAATTGTGTTTCATGTGTCTGTTTTTACCACACCAATTGACAGGAAAATACGAGCACAACACCAAAGTTTAATTTTATTCCACCTATGCTATAAATGTTTGCAAGTTTTTGTGAGCCAGGCTAAGTTTTAGAATTATTTAATATTTCAAATTCGTATGATGTTGGGTAATAATATTACAAAGTATTGTAGTTCGTTATTTATAAAACGTTTGTGAACAATTAAGCCCAATTTACGTTGGCACACGACATGTAGAAACAACTCAGTGGTGAATTTATTTTAATCAATTTATTAATTATTTGTGTGGTTCATTACTATTTCTCTGTTGAATATGCAATGCAGAAATAAGTACTAATAAAACATAGATTAGTGAATAACACATTGTGTATGTAAAAAAAAAAAAAAAAAATACTTGTCCTTGGTATCTCCAGTCCAGTCCACATTCCACAATGAAGATATATGAATCGGGTGGAAACAGTAAAACGTGAGCGGCATGTACGTTTACACCTAAATTATTTCAATTACTTCTTGTTATTCCATCCACCGCGAGAGGGCGATAGAGGCTGTGATTTATTCTATTACTTTGAGTATGTATGTTCATGTAACTACTTCTATATAAATATAATAGTACTGTCTATTGTATGTCCATGTAACTACTTCTATATAAATATAATAGTACTGTCTGTTGTGTGTCCATGTAACTACTTCTATATAAATATAATAGTACTGTCTGTTGTATGTCCATGTAACTACTTCTATATAAA